TATCTCCTACATATTCTACAAAGATCTATCGGTCAAACCATTATGACAACATATGTAATTCTCTTTGTCCATGGGTATGTTACTTGCCCGAGATTCAATCGTCGGTATCTTCATACCTAGTTCAATCTCGTTATCGGCAAGTCGCTTTACTCGTTCCGTAATACATCATCTTGTGACTAACTCCTTAGTCATTTTCTTGCAAGCTAATGATGTGTATTACCGAGAGGGCCTAGAGACACCTCTCCGATACTCGGATTGACAAATCCAATTCTCAATCTATGCCAACTCAACAAACACCTTCGGAGATACCTGTAGAGCATCTTTATGATCACCCATTTACGTTGTGACGTTTGATAGCACAAAAGGCATTCCTCCCGTATCCGGGAGTTGCATAATCTCATAGTCAGAGGAATATGTATTTGACATGAAGAAAGCAATAGCAATAAACTGAACGATCATTATGCTAAGCTAACGGGTGGGTCTTGTCCATCACATCATTCTCCTAATGATGTGATCCCGTTATCAAATGACAACATATGTCTATGGTTAGGAAACCTTAACCATCTTTGACCAATGAGCTAGTCTAGTAGAGGCATACTAGGACATGGTGTTTGTTTATGTATTCACACATGAATTTAAGTTTCCGATCAATTCAATTCTAGCATGAATAATAATCCTTTATCATGAATAAGGAAATATAAAATAATAACTTTATTATTGCCTCTAGGGCATATTTCCTTCAAGAAGGACATGGGCAACAATCACCGTTGTCATTCATTCATAAACATCGCTTGCAGACCATTCACGAGAAACATGATTCAAATAGGTCACCTAAATTTTTTATTCTATTAGTTACTTCTCTTCTTGACTGCAGTTGGTCTCTATGCCAATGGCTGTGGTTGGCCTCTTCTGATAATTCAGTTAACTTCCATTTTATGTTTCAAATAGTTCAATTAACTTCTGAGCTGCAGTTGGTCTCTGCGGAATCGTGCGCACCTATGGACGTAAACCAAGGGTAAAAGTGTTCCCTCCAATCCCAAGATCCAAAGTGATGCTCGTGAGCACCAGGCGTCTGTGGGAAATGGTCCATGACGCTGGACGTTGCTCTTGGACGAATGACGTGCTTTGCAATTTTTGCCAGGTTTTGGACTCTGCAGGCTAGCCGGATGGCGTATGCGGCCAGACATTCTCGCTCATCGTGTTCTCCCATGTCATTTGAATCGTCTAGTCAGTACACCTGGCTTCCTTTTGCTCGTGTGGTTTTGTGTTGAGGTGCATGATTCCAGTGGTTCAGTTCATTTTACATGGGGAGTTGAGTCGTTCTGTAGATCAATCCGACTGATGGGTTGCCCTAACCGAAAAATTCAGCACATGGCCAATGATCATCATTGTTATTGGTAAATATACAATGCAATACAAATATAATCACTTGCAGACAATTCACGAGAAACATCAAAAAAGTTCTCAGAGTCCATTCACCAGCTCAAGCAATATACTTATGTGTCACCAAAGAAAGCTATGGGCAATGATCATCATCAAGTCAAATACATACGCGTTACGAATATATCTGTTTGCAGACAGACAGCTGAGGAAAAAATCGTTCAAATAGTTGATACAGTTGGTCTCTGCACAGAAAAAAACCCTTCAAATAATTGATATAGTTGGTCTGTGCATAGATGGCGCATCGAGTTATGTAGTTGAAATAGAACATGACTATGGTGGATCCCTGGGAAACATGAGCCCGACTATTTTGAACAAATCCCTACATATTTTTCACGGCCCAGCGGGAACATGCGGGTACATCCCTACATATTTTGATAGGTGGCTGTCTAAATCAACACCGTGGCCGACTGTGAAAGGAACATAAAAGCACCGTTCTAATAGATCAATATACAAGTTGATAAAGCAGCGTTCCACGACATGATGTTAAGAATGATACTTTAAGAAAATAAAGAGTTAATCATATGGTTAGTAATGATGAAGTCCACCCTTGGTCTTGCACTGTTGTTCTTTTCCCCTTACATCTTCGGTGTTCAAAAGTAGCTGCCACAGACACGGGAGAGCAGCCATTGACTCACTCAATGACTGGTCTCTCTTCCCCCCTCCCAGCCATGCAAGAAGAAAAGAATTGCTAGAATTCAAAATACGAAAATGATATCACTATATTTTTCATGAAATATATTTTTATATGTATAGTTACTTGTTTGTGAGGAAACATGTTTGAATAGAAATACATGGTCAAAATAAAATTTTGTGTACTGCGTTACCTAGAAGATATACTTTTTTGAGATTAAAGGAAGTACTTTCATCTTGGCCTTTCTAGAACATGAGAGCTTTTGTTCACTGTTTAGGTAGCAGGTGCACTATTTGAGCTATTGGAGCATATGCTGCCTCTGGGCTTTAGCGAAATATGTTGGTAGTGGTTTTACTTTTTATTCATTGAAAGAAACGTGTCTTATGTATGCGATTCCTGGTATATTCATATATTAGTCATTGTGATTTTTTTGTTTATTTTTTCAGGAAAATAAACCGTGTTCATATCAAACGTAATAATGAATGGTTACATATTAGTGTATGAATAAAGTGTATTTAATTAGGAAAATAGTTGTATCTATCGTTATGTTGTGGAAACTAAAAAGACATTACCAAGAATTATTTCTATAATTTTCATTGTAGAATATGTTAAAATAAAACATAACTTCCCATGATACGCAAAGTGACCAACTGGGATAATTTTTTCTGAATAATCACCAACTGGAATTGTTATTTCAAATAGATTAACAATATTTTTACCCGCTAAACAAACAATAGTTTTAACCCAAGAGATGTAGCCCAAACATGGTACTGCCGGATCCTCGGGAACATTCAATGACGCAGCGAAGCCTGCAAGACCTTCTAGTTTTACGTAATCCATCGTGTTTTGCAGGCTAGTGGGCAGTGCATCCTACTCGGTCTCTTGGAGGTGTTCATAAGAGACAGGACTGTGTGCCCATATTTACAGGGATGAGTCTGCGTGTGTGTTACAAGTGTTTGCGTCTATATACTGTGTTTTAAAGAAGAACAATTTCGGTAGGTGGCTATCCGAATCATCATGGTGGCCGACCGTGAAAGTTACATAAAGCCGCGTTCCACTAGATCAACATACAAGTTGATAAAGCAGCGTTCCACTACATGATGCTAAGAATGATACTGCAAGAAAATAAAGAGTTAATCATATGGTTAGGCATGATAAAGTCTCCACCCTTGGTCTTCCACACCACGCTCTCTTGATAAAAGTCCTTTTTCACTTCCCTCTACTGTGTTCAAGTAGCTGCCTGCCATGATGTTTATATTGAAGTTGCCATGATACGTTTTGCTATTTTCTTCTACATTTAAAAGTAAATTTTGACATATTATAAAACGGAGAATTAAGAAACTAGACTTGTCATGAACCATAAACTAAAATTGCCATGATACATACACTTAAAATTGCCATGGTTCATACAAAAAATAATTTTCATGGTCAAAGTACTAGAATTGCCATCATAAAAAAACTAAAATTGCCATGCTCTACAAACTAAAATTGCCACATGGCAACTTTAGTTTAAGCACTATGGCAACTACAGTGTAAACATCATGGCAAATTTTGGGGAAAAAATTTCATCAAAACATATCAACATGGGGTCTAGTTTCGAAGATTTCGTCGAGATGGATTTAATGGTGAAATCGGATTTTTGATTCGATTTTTTAATTAGGACATAAATTATTTTAAGCCGAAAACCAAAAAATTTCTGCTGATGTCATCTGTTTATACCTGGCAAAATGAGTGGGTATGGAGGCGTGTGGGCGGTGTGCAAGATGCCACAAGTGCGGGCGTCAGTTTTTTCGTAGTTTTAACCCAAGAGATGTAGCCCAAACATGGTAGTGCCGGATCCTCAGGAACATTCAATGACGCAGCGAAGCCTCCAAGACCTTCTAGTTTGAAGTAATCCATCATGTTTTGCGGGCTAGTGGGCAGCGCGTCCTACTCGGTCTCTCGGAGTTGTTCGTAAGAGATAGGGTTGTGTGCCCATATTTACAGGAGCAATGCTAGACCTACGTACAAGTCCTACGTAATTAGTCGTACATGCCAATGTGGCCCAAATTAGTTGG